AACATCGCTAAGTACACGTAGCGACTTACGTGTGGCGTAAGTGCTGATATGAAGAATTAACTCAAGCGGTGGTATTATCAAAACATTTGCGCGGGAAGCTACGTACAAGAAGCCGTGCGTAGCTCTACGCCTGCTTTGAGGTTTCGTAAGTGAAGTTACGTAGACGTTTTGAGTGTGCCGAAGCAATATAACACTATTGATTTACTTGCAACACGGTGAATTGTGATAGACCTATGTCAATAATTCAACATAGGCATAATATGTGATCGTGCTAAACGGTGTTTTTTGAGAAAAAAATTTCAATCAAGTTTATGCCAGCTAATTTCTTTTCCTTTCGTGCTATAATTTGCAAGCATATCTTGATATTCGTATCTAAGAGTTTTATGATCATTCACTAAAATAATATCTTCATGACTTTTTGATTCAAAACTAAGTGGAGTTTGACAAGCCAACCATTTTTCTAGCTACGTACACAAATTCCTTTCTTTCTCCGCTGATAGTTGAACTCCAAGCTGAGTGTGGACCAACTCACAAGAACTCCAACTCACAAAATGTTCTAAATTCTAGGTAGCTCTCTAAAAAGTCCTCAAATTTTGAATGGGAAAATGTAATTTTTTGCCTTGATTGCAAAAAATTACAATCAACTGAATCAAAGCGTTTTCATTGCTATTTAGACAACGTCTCACTCATTTCTCCATATGCTTCCTAGTCAGTCAACGCAGATGACGCTGACACAATACAACCTCCTTTCATCCATGCGCATTGCGCACTGAGTCGACAGGAGCTAGGAATAGCAAATTCGAAGCATCTGATTGGTCAGTTAGTTGGATGGTTTCGATAATACCTTTTCAGATGAGTCTTGCGTAAGACAGTTTTGTTAATGCCAAATTTTGACTGACTTGCGCAACACGTAATTTTTTGAACGTAGGTACGAAAAGTTACGTGTACTTATCGAAGTTTCGTTAATCTGTGCCCTGGCTCTCAAGAAGTGAAAATGCAACTGTAACTTGAAGTCTTGAACGTCGGTACAAAGAGGCTGAATTTATTACATAATGGAAGAAAAAAACAGGATCTAATTCTAATAGATGAAGATAATAGTTCAGCAATCACTCATGTCCACTGTGACGCCTAAAAGCTCTGAACAGCCAAGATTGTTCTATTCACATGGCAAGAACAAGAAGCGTTATCCTTAACGTGCGCAACGAAACCAACGATGCAAGGAATGTTGCCATAATAAACTGATTACGTTTATATTCATGTAATTGGTTCAAAGATTTGTTGTGTAAAAGCACATCCCAGCCAGATACTGAGTAAGAACACAAAGTTTGATAATAAGCACGCTCGTGCTCAAAATGTGTAATCATCATTCGTTAATAATGAAATTTAATATAAGGAAAAGGTGAATATAATGAAAAATTCCAGAATATATGAGCATTTAGCTATTCAACGTGCATCCCGGCAGGATAGTTTGAGCAATGTCGTGTTATGGGTTAAGGTAATAGCACAGTTCAGACCTCGTCGTGTTATGGGTTAAGGTGACAAAATTTCTGATAGGTCTTCGATCTTTTTCATGTTTTTAAATGTTTTCTTCTAAACATCGAATGTTGTTCATTCTTGTTTCTCCAAACATTGCATGTTCCTTATCAAGAAAAAAATGATGTCATATATGTTAAGAAATGAATATAGTTTAAAGAGTCCGCATGAACTAAAAGTTCATGATAGTGAGTTATATATCATGTTGCAATTCAAGTCATACTGCTAAACATGAAAATAAAAATACACTTATAATAATTAATAAAAGACATATTATAAAATAATAAAATTTTTATAGTAGTCAACTCGACTAACGTAATTAAATTGAGTTTTCATAGGTCATATTGACTTGGAACTCTGGCGGTTTAATGTGGCGGTTTAACCGCCAGTGTTTAAGTTAATGACGATACCGATTTTAATTTAATTTAAAGCCGATACCAATTTTAATTTCATTTAATGGCGACACCGGTTTTAATTTAATTTAATGGCGATACCGACTTTAATTTGATTTAATGGCGATACCAATTTTAATTTAATTTAATGGCGATACCAATTTTAATTTAATTTAATGCCGATACCGATTTTAATTTAAGTTAATGGCAATACCGATTTTGATCTAATTTATTGGTCTTACCGATCGTAATTAAATTAATGGCGATATCGATTTTAATTTTAGTTAATGGGGGTACCGATTTTAATTTTATTGTTATGGTAATATTTAATTTAATTTAATTATTTAACAGTATTTAATTTAATTTAATGGCGATACAGACTATAATTAAATTCAATGGCGATACCGATTTTAATTTAATTTAATGGCAGTGCAGGTTTCAATTTAATTTAATGGCGATGCCGATTTTACCATTCGTTCCCACGTAAATGTCAGGGGCCACTGACGGTGGCCCATACAATGGCCCCGGCAATGCAAACAAACTTCTTGCGAATTTCAGTGCAAACAATCACTTAATTTGACAGTGTAAATATCGTTATATTTTTTAATCGTACAAATCGTCACATATAATTCAAAAAGTTATCAATATTCATTGCTTCAAATTGCTGCATAATATTATAAGTACAAATAATCTATACTTAATATTGGATGAAGAGCTGCGAGAGTCGCGTCCTGGGCATGCAAGTCCCTGTAAATTAAATTTATTCTCTATATTTTCCGGCATTATTAGCTCATGAATGGCCTTTCGTTCATTTACATTTTAGCGCCAAAGTTAAATGCGTATTTCTGAAAGTATAAATACTCGGTACATAGTTTCATAAGATTTGTTTACTTACAAAATGACCAGAGTATTTAATTTAAAGTCAATAGCAGCGATAAACATTTTAGTACATGTATACCCCCGGAGAACTCGGCGCCCATTGGCAGTGGAGACCCGCCAGCGCCAGCCAATGCCACCGCCAGGCTCTGTTCCAGGTCAATGGGCGCCAATCTTCTGTTGGCGGTCCGGGCTGACGATGGCCGCCAATATTGGTTGGCCCTCCAGGCTGACGATGGCCGCCAATATTGGTTGGCCCTCCAGGCTGACGATGGCCGCCAATATTGGTTGGCCCTCCAGGCTGACGATGGCCGCCAATATTGG